AAATAAAACAAAACAGAATAAAGGAAAATATTTTTCAAAGCAGGAGTGAAAGTTTAAAAGGACTAAGCTGCCACTTCTACAAACCATGCAATCTTCGGTGGAGCTTTAAAACCGAGCTCCACATCTGTTGCTACTCCATTCTGCCAGTCAGCTCCCTGCCGGCTATCTGTCCGTCCGGTGGTCTTACGTGTGACCCCTCTGGTTTAGAAAACCAGATCCAGCCTCCAATCAGTCCTCTGTTTCATGTTGCCGTTGTTTCAACCAGCATTAACTACCCTGCCTGCCCTGTTTGTTGGCATTTCACAAAAAGTATTTTAATAAACAGAGATTCTCAAACTTTATAACCAAACATCCACATTTAATTTCTAAATGAATCAACATATTAAACTGTACATAAAGGCAACATTGTGACACTGTAAAGTTAAATTGGAGGTAACCGGGTGTGAAAAATGTCAGTCTGCTTTCAGTGAGCTGACACTGACACAGACTTTAGCTTTTATTGCTGTTGCTGCAGTTTACACTGTACATCTACTGCAAGAAATTACTTCCAGCTCATTTTCTTTAGACTCAGTCATGTCTGCAAGCATACAAGCACACTCGCTTCTTTGGTGTTCGCTCCCTCAGTGCACACTCTCTTCATGCACACTCTTAAAGCTGCTCAGAGGTGTTCTGACAGTAGTAAACAACCATAATTGCGCCGATGCATTTCAGTGCAATGCAAAACAACGTGGGCTGGATCCAGATCTGGACTGGATATACTGCTGGATGCCATTCTTCTGTAATGAGCGACAGCATCATCAGGAAATAATGCAACACMACTTCCTCCAAAGGTGAACAAGTTGTCTGCACCAGTCCTGTATCAAACAGCAGCGCCGAGAGGTTTTTCTTCTCCTCCATCTGTTCCCTAAAGCACATTAGTGGAGTCAACAGTGACCCAAAACCCTGACGAGTTTGATGTGTACGCAGATCTTCTGCTGACAGCGGAGTTTTCTGAAGACTGCCAGAAAGACTTCAACCAGCATGAGAGAGAAAAAACTGTCCTCTGGCAGCACATTCAGAGCCCGACGTGGGTTTCATCTATGAGCTATTACTTGTGTCTTAATTATGTGTTGGCTGTAATATTTGTGTAATGGGCAGCTGATGGTCCTGACTAACTTTAAATGGACGCTCATAATCAAAACAATGTGACAGAAAGAGAATAAAAAGCAGCTAGCTGGAAATTGTATTCTGCTGTTTTAAAGTTGTAACGGTTGAAACCTTTGCTTTCAAATAGAATCAAATCCTTTCTTACAAAGGAAGTTAATTAAGTCTGAACCTCCCTGGCTCTGTGAGGGGAAACTTCAGCCAACACACAAGAGTCCTACAGGAAAGCCCATGACAGTCGTGAAAACTGCACACGAGTTCTTCTAACAAGGGGATGAGCACCACGGACTCCTGTCCGCCAACAAAGACGGCAGCAGATGGACGACRTGCAGAGCCTTCCACCTCTGTGGGAGCCGGGCCAGGACAGAACTCTTATGTTATCTTATTACACACTTGGACAAAAACCTTCTTCTGCTGCCTGTCGACTCTCTACCCCTTGGCTGCCTTTCTGTTTTGGTATTTACGGCTCAGCTGGGCATCGTAAGGGTTGATTCCAGCTCCCGCATCGACTGCAGCCAGCTGGTAATCACTGAGCCTTTATGAATGGGGTCTCATCTACTGTGAATGTTGCTTTAAAACCTGAGGAGGACATAGTTTTCAACAACTGGGTGGGATGAGCAGTTTTATGATCAGACATAAATCCAAACAGACAAACACAGCTGGCCACTATTCTGTACACAGCTGGAAATGCACAAAAACAGTAGAGATATGAATTTTACATTATTTCTGTTGTATTAGCTGTCCGTGAGAACATAACGAAGCACACAGTGCACACATCTTTATTTTTATTTTATGTAAATATAAATTAGTAAAAACATTAAAGAAAAAGGAGAAAATTAAAAGTGAGAACTACTTTGACAGAATTCTCAAAATGTTTTTTGGAAAGAAGCATTGATTTGATTTTATTTTATCATTAAAAAATGCTTCAGATCTGCTATGATTAATTAAAAGTGTTGTTGACACATTTGAATGTGTTAAAAAGCCATAAGATGCTCTTAAAATGATCCATAAAAACAACTAAAAATGTGGATCATGGACAACAGAACAAACTGCAGTTTAGCCTGTTAGCTTTTGCACTAACGCTGAGCTAAAGCAGTATATAACAGTAGCTATGTATAAACTACAGTATAAACAAACTAATTCCACATATTTAATAG